TATTTACACATAGTCCACTGTGGTGGTCACCAGCCACATGTTGCTACTGAGCATTTGAAATATGGCTATTGTGACTGCGGGACTATAATTTTGATTTATTTAATTTTAATGAATTCAAATTAAAATTCAAATAGACACAGGTAGCTAGTGTCTATTGCATTTGATAGTTCAGTTCCAAATGTTTTGGAATGCATTTGATTTTTTCTTTTCACAAGGAATCACTTTCCATTTGGTTGTGGCTAATAATAAAAATCAGTTTATGCTCTCTGTGCATTTGGACTCTTGGCAAAAGGAAATAACCCAGAAGTATACTGGCTGACTGTTTACAGCCAGCCTGTAATTTTAAACTGCTGGCAGGTATTTCCCATGGATACAATTGAAAGCTGAAAACATGTGTTATGAGTAAAGACAACATGTGGGGCTTCAATCTAGCCCAGAAGAATCATGAAAATCTTCTTAAAAGTCTATTCACCTTTGGCTTGGTGCCCTTAGCACAGTGGTTATGGCTGCGGCCACATGCACTGATGCTGGTGGGTTCAAACCCAGCCCAGGCCAACTAAACAACAATGACAACTGCAACAAAAAAATAGCTGGGCATTGTGATGGGTGCCTGTAGTCCCAGCTACTTGGGAGACTAAGGCAAGAGAATCACTCAAGCCCAAAAGTTGGAGGTTGCTGTGAGCTGTGACGCCACACCACTCTACCCAGGGCGACATAGTGAGACTTTGTCTCAAAAAAAAAAAAAAAAAAGTCTATTCCCCTTTGTACTCCAATTTCCAAAGCTAAGGACCAAGTTTAAACTTTGATTAGTCATGTTCTGTGCTGTCAGAGAGGCATTTCTGTATGTTCCTGAATTGACTTAAGAAATTTTTAAGATGGCTCAGCGTCCATAGCTCAGCAGTTAGGGCACTGGCCACATGTACTAGGGCTGGCAGGTTCAAACCCAGTCTGGGCCTGCTAAACAACAATGACAACTGCAGCAACAACAAAAAAAAACAGGCGTTGTGGCAGGCTCCTGTAGTCCCAGCTACTTAGGAGGCTGAGGCAAGAAAATCATTTAAGCCCAAGAGTTGGAGGTTGCTGTGAGCTGTGACACTACTGCACCCTACTGAGGGCAACATAGTGAGACTCTGTCTCAAAAAAAGAAAAGAAAGATATTTTTAAGAAGCCAGGGATGGTGGCTCACACCTGTAATCCCAGCACTCTGAGAGGCCAAGGTAGGTGGATTGCCTAGCCCAGGAGTTCAAAACCAGCCCAAATAAGAGCAAAACAGTTTCTATTAAAAATAGAAAAACTAGCCAGGTGCTGTTGTGGGCACCTGTAGTCCAAGCTCTGGAGAGGCTGAGGCAGGAGGATCACTTGAACCCAGGAGTTTGAGGTTGCTGTGAGCTATGACACCATCTCCCTCTAGCCAGGGTGACAGAGTGAGATTCTGTCTTAAAAAAAAATTAAGATCATGGAGCAGTGCCTGAGGCTCAAAGGAGTAGGGCACTGGCCCCATATACCAGAGGTAGTGGGTTCAAACCCAGCCCTGGCCAAAAACTGCAAAAAAAAAAAAAAATTAAGATCCTGTGGGACATTATCATAGTTTCATTCCTTGAGATGACTTAAGGCTTACAATCAAAGCACAAACTATTAGGTTTGTTTTCTTGTTTTACATTGATGAGCTAATTAGCTTATTTGCTGCTATTCCTTCCTGCACCAGATATACCTGAGCAGAGAGTAAACTAGCCTGGGAAATTTGTAAGGGTAGTATTCCTTATTAGCCATCTTTTTGGACTTAGCTTCTCAGAGTGCCTGGCACTTAATAAGCATGTAACAAGTCACATTTGTGGGTGTGTGATATATATAAGGCTGGTGATGAGTATGTTCTATTTTTGCTCAATCTAAGTCCTGGAAGAGGTGACATTTCTTTGGGGCTTTGAAGAATGTAAGTAAGAAGGTTAAATAGTGGAAGGATGTTTTTGTCACAAATATAACTTATTATATTCTAAATCCCTCAAACCTCACCTCCTTATGCTTTCCTTATCCCAGACTCATTCCCACATTCTAAGCCAGAAACACAAGAAATAGTCCCCCCCTTCTTTCCTCTCCCCTACACTTCGCATCCAGTTAGCCACCCAAACCTAGAAAGTCCTGACAGTTCTTCCCGAGATGCCCTCTGCCACAGCCCTAGTTCCGGGCACCATCATTTCTTCCTCAGCCTGTGGTAGCAGCCTTGTAAGCCTTTCTCTCCTTTAGTTCATTCTCCAGCTTTCTCTACAATAATAATTATTTCAAATGATAGAAATGACAGTAATTCTGCCATTCCTGTGTTTATAGACCTCCTCCTGCCTGTATACCTTGCTGTTCTGTTAGCACCCCCACAGCCTTTTACCTAGCCTCTCCCCCCTGGCCAGGTTCCACCCTCCTGTCAGGTTCCCAGCTGTGGGCATACCCAACTGTTACTACTCTGAACACAGCGTCCCCTTTCAGAATCCAGCGCCTCTGTACCAGCTACCCCTGCTGCTCTGCCTGACACGGTCTTCTCTCTGCCTATTACCTCACGCTCCCTCAACTCTGTCTCAGTATCAACTGGCAAAGCCTTCCCTGAATCTCCCAGCAAAGCTGGCCCCTTTTTCCCCTGGTGCCCAGAGCACTCAGGCAGGTTTCTTTGTTTTTTGGTTTTTTGAGACAGTCTCAAGCTGTCACCCAGGGTAGAGTGCCATGGTGTCACAGCTCACAGCAACCTTTAATTCTTGGGTTTTAAGCAATTCTCTTGCCGCAGCCTCCCAAATAGCTGGGACTACAGATGCCCACCAAAATACCCAGCCATTTTTTGTTGCAGTTGTCATTGTTATTTAGCTGGCCCGGGCCGGGTTCAAACCTGCCAGCTCTGTGTATGTGGCCATTGTCGTAACCACTGTGCTATGGGCACCAAGCCATCAGGCAGGCTTCTTACTTCTCTGACAAGTTCCGCACATGTTTGTTCACACCTGTCTCTTCCACTCCTGCTAAGCTCCTTGGGAGCAAGGACTGAGTCCTATCAGTTGTGGATCCCCTGCACCTGGCACATAGGGAGGATCCAATGTTCCTTAAAGTGTTCTTAGAGTACTAGAGAGTTGTTTTTAAGCTCAAAACAGAACCAAGGCAAAACCCAGAATAAAATTTTGAAATGAGGAAATAAAGTTCAGGGCACTGGCAGGAAGTGACCTTGGCTGGAGAAGGCACACTAAGATGCATACATGGAGGCAGGCAGAGCAGGTGTGGACTTTCTCCTTGTGAGATGCAAAAACAGGATCCAGAAAGCTCAGGGACTTGCCCAAGGCCATGTCGTGAGTGAGTGTTAAGACTCAAACCCAAGGCTCGGCCTGTAGCTCAGTGGTTAGGGTGCCAGCCACATACACCACATACACCAGGGCTGGCAGGGGCCTGCTAAACAACCATGACAACTACAAAAATATATATAGCTGGGTGTTGTGGCGGGCACCTGTAGTCCTAGCTGCTTGGGAAGCTGAGGCAAGAGAATCCCTTAATCCCAAGAGTTTGAGGTCACTGTAAACTGTGATTCCAGGGCACTCTACCAAGGCAACATAGTGAGACTCTGTGTAAAAAAAAAAAATAGAAAAGAAGAAGACTCAAACCCAAGTTTCCTATCTCCCACTGTACAGTCTTCAAAACTTTTTTTTTTTAAGAGACAGAGTTTTACTTTGTCACCCTCTGTAGGGTGCTGTAGCGTCACAGCTCACAGCAACCTCCAGCTCTTAGGCAATTCTCTCGCCTCGGCCTCCCAAGTAGCTGAGACTACAGGCACCCACCACAACACCTGGCTTTGTTGTTGTTGCAGTTTGGCTGGGGCTGGGTTCAAACCTACCAGCCTCGGTATATAGGGTCAGCACCCTACTCACTGAGCCACAGGCGCCACCCCTTCAAAACTTTTTTTTTTTTTTTTCAGTTTTTGGCAGGGGCTGGGTTTGAACCCGCCACCACCGGCATTTGGGGCCGGCGCCCTACTCTTTTTGAGCCAAAGGCGCTGCCCCTTCAAAACTTTTTTTTTATCACAAGAACCAAATTAGAGAACTGGAGAGAATGCACTTCCGGAGTGCACACCTGCATGGCAGGCACTGCTGTGCTTTATACATTTTAACTTGTTTCATCCACTTAGTAGATGAAACACATATTTTATCCCCATTTTATAGATGAGGAAAGTAAAGTACAGAGATGTTCAATAACTTGTTCAAGGCCATAGATAAAAAGTGATATTCAGGGGCCAGGTACAGTGGCTCATGCCTATAATCCCAGCACTCTGGGAGGCTGAGACAGGAGGATCCCTTGAGCTCAGAGTTCGAGACCAGCCTGAGCAAGAGTGAGACCCTTATCTCTACTAATAATAGAAAAAATAAGCTGAACACAACAGCATGCACTTGTAGTCCCAGCTATTGGAAAGGCTGAGGCAATAATATCACCTGAGCCCGGGAGTCTCAGGTTGCTCTGAGCTAGGATGGTGCCACTGCACTACAGCTGGGGCGACAGAGTGAGACTTTGAGTCAAAAAGAAAAAAAAGAAGAAATAGCAGTATAGGCAATCCTGAGTTAAGAATGAGATACATTCTATAGGTTTGTTCTTAAGTCAAATTTGTATGTAAGTTGGACCAGGTACCTTTACCTATATTACCTGTAATAGCCTCCACTCATAAGTAGATGTTTGTAACTCAAGGACTTATGGTATGTAAGTCAGATGTTTGTAACCTGGATAGCAGTCAGGTTTGAATTCAAGCCAGTCTGACTCCAAGGTCCCTGCTCAGAAATATAAGTTTATGGTGCTTCTCCATGCAAATGATTTTATTTAATACCAGAATCATGATTATAATACCACCTTCCCCTCTCCCTGTTATACAGAATGGGAACATCTTTATAGAGATGAACACTTCTCCTGAGACCCTCTCCCCACTCCTCTGCACACTTCTGTGCTCTGCCTCCCTCCCCCTGCCAGGATTTTCACCTACTGTTTCTCCCCTGCAGAAGTGTGTCAGCAGAGGTGAGCTCCAGGTGTCTCTGTCATATCAGCCTGTGGCACAGAGAATGACAGTGGTTGTCCTCAAAGCCAGACATTTGCCGAAGATGGATATCACCGGTCTCTCAGGTAGCAGCTATTTACTTCAACCTATTCCTGACTTTCTGGACCACCCCTGTCTCCCTCCCCCACTCCCTGTCTGGGGCCCAGACACAGCCACATGTCTGAGGGTCTCTTGTCTCTGTCACTTTCCACCTGCATCTCATTCTGTCTGCACGCTCTTTCCCATGAACACCTAGGTCCAGTGGCTGTCCTGGCTGAAGAGGTGTTTTGCTTGTGCAAATGGAGTCTTTACATTTCAGGAGATTCCCTAAATACTATGCAGGCCAAGTGCTCAGCACTTGCTCCAGTGTAGATTTCTCAGACTGTGGGTATTCGTTAGTCCCTGTGCTTTTGAAAATGCTTTTTGGTGCATTTTCAGACATGACTCGAGGAAGTTGTTCTATTCTATTCCTGCTTGGTTTCCTTGGCCCCTTATCCAGGCAGGCAGACTCACACATGGTCAGTGGGGGCAGCCACCACAAATAGGAACAACAAATCACCCCCCCCCTTTCCCAGCATGAAAGCACCACTATATAGGAGAGGACTGTGTCATAGGCCTGTCTTTTTTTTTTTTTTTTAATCTCTTTGGGTGCCCCAGATCCTTATGTCAAGGTGAACGTCTACTACGGCAGAAAGCGCATAGCCAAGAAGAAAACCCACGTGAAGAAGTGCACTTTGAACCCGGTCTTCAATGAGTCTTTCATCTATGATATCCCCACTGACCTCCTGCCTGATATCAGCATCGAGTTCCTTGTTATCGACTTCGATCGCACCACCAAGAATGAGGTGGTGGGGAGGCTGATCCTGGGGGCACACAGCGTCACCACCAGTGGTGCCGAGCACTGGAGAGAGGTCTGCGAGAGTCCCCGCAAACCTGTGGCCAAGTGGCACAGTTTGAGCGAGTACTGATCCTGTTCTTCTCGCCTCTAACCCCGGGGCCAGGCTGGGGAGGTGTGTGGCGGGGAGAGAGATGACAGAGAAGTGGACTCAAAACCTCATTTTAGTTGTAGAAGAAAATTTCTTACAAAACAAACTCCACAAAGAACATCCCACATGACCACAGCTGCAGATCAGCTCTTAGCGATGATGATTTTTTTCTCCTTTGCAAGGCACTAGAAATTTTTTTTTTAATGGGGGAAAAAAGAGAGGGAAAGACCCCTACAGGTTTATATATAACAATGTAACCTTATACTTGCATGTCTAATACAAACTGAAGAAATTAGCCTAACTGCCAATATCAAGTTGCAGATTTTAATCCATGAAAATTGTGTTTTGTGCCGAATTGTATTTGCTAATTACCTGAAATTGGCCTCTTTTTATTGGGCTTCTCTGGAGAGTTACTCCTACACCCCACCTTTGCAGATGAAAATTTTGCTCTTGTAAAACCTCATGTTTTCATCATTCCCATCTTTTCTTCTTGTTACCTCTTACATCTTTGCTCTTTGGCTGAGCTCAAAGTCTAGAGGTCTATAGTAAGCCAAGAAACAGGTGGTATACGGAAGGCAAGGTTTGCAGGGAAAAAGAGTAATTGAGAAATGGGGTATTTTTGCTGTCACCCCTCCTGTTATAAGGGGTAAAGGGCAGTCTGTGATTAACTGGTAGCCCCAGTGAGGCACACAGAGTACATCCAACTGAGCAGGTTGAACTTGGATTTAAGAAACTAGATAACTTCTCTAAAAAGAGCTTTGGAGACTGCAAATTCAACTATTGGATAGTACCAATGAACACATCCAGCTGATCCCAAATGCTATTTCCACGTATAAGGACAAGGAGTGTAGACAAGAGATGACTGCCATCCCCCTTTGAGTTTATCTATAGTAGTGACAACCATCTATTGGTTGAGGGGGTTGGAGGTCATCAGAGGTTTGAAGGATTACATCAGCCTTTGTTTTTCTAGCAAACACTAACCATAGAGAGGGTTTAGAGTCTTAGATGTGGTAATGATGTTAGAAAGAAAAAGGCCTCAGAAATTATTCTTTCTTCTTAATTTTTTCAATAACTGGCTCTCAAGAAAAATAACAGTGTAACTAAGTGAGTAATAAAAGCAAGTTGGATTCTTTCAGAACATCTTTTCCCTCAAAACAAAGAGCATAGTTATCAAAATTTATGAGCCTCCAGATGTAGCAGAGGGATGGGGAAACCACAGAGTGCTACCCTCCTCCTGCTGCATCTTGCTGGGATTAGAGTTCAAATCTCCTTACTCTAATGTTGAGATTTTTCTGATGGCAGAGACTTTATGGGCAATAGGTAGGCTTGGATAGGCAGTAGATATTTTGCTAACCTTAAGAGGAACTCAATCAAATAAGCAACCAGCTTGATCCAAGGCCCAAAAGATTACCTGAAATTGAAGTGTTCATGTCCATATATGGATATCACTTTCTAACTTGTTTCTGAGAACAATTGAAACACTGAGTCTCCATGGAGAGGGTGGTGATCTTGCCTTTCATGTTCTCTTTGTTTTTGTGGATTTAAAACCAGTCTGCCCCCCATCCAATCTTTTTGGTTTGTTTTAGCCCACATTCCTGACAGTGCACAGCAGTTCTGGGAAGGCAGGCACAAGGCACACTCCCTGTTCTTGGCCCTGTCAACCCCATCCCTCATAATCTGACTCACTGTCTCACCAACAGCTGGGATCACAGCACTATTCTCTGTTCTATACCCCACGAAGTGTAAATACTGTATCATACATAGAAAAAAAATAATTTTTGTTTTCTAAAAATTCATTTTGAGATAGTTTAATGTAAATCTAACAGGAGCGTTCTGAAGCCCCATTAGGAAAAAATCTAAATGGTTCCTCTTCATCGCCTTAATGTCTAAAGATCAGAAATCGCTAAGCAACTTGCTTTTGTTTCCTTCCCAGAAACAATGCAAAGCAACAGGTGGAGACGGTCTGGTCTTTGCCCTGCTGTGTGTGCCTCTGTAGCTCCTCATGACAAAAGTCTGGGAAAACAGCCTCACCCCACCCCTCTCTTCCCCCACCTCCTTGTAGCTTTATTCCTTGTATTCTTTGGGTCTACTGAGCAGTGGGTGGTGAGGTGACAGGGGAGGAACAAGTAGTTTTGTAGACTAGGAGCTGCCTCTGTATCTTTGTCAGAAAAAAGCAAAGAGGTGGACAGTCCAGGGTTCCTCACTCCTACCTCAGGCCTGATCCATCGTGCCCTTGACTTTGCTGTCCCAAAGTTTCTTAGCTGACTTTGGCTTTCACATTTGTTCTTTCCAGAGCTAACTGATAAGCATGGAGGAGAAATGCATCCTCCTAAGAGTCAGTTGAAAGACAAGAGAGTCACATCATAGGTTTTGCACAAGGCACTCATAGTCGGGAATAGGTTAGGGAATAGTCACTTCTGATTTTCCAAGAATCAAATCTTCTCTGTGGATATCTTGATTCCCTTGGGAAGAAAACAGTTTTTCTGAATAACAAAAGTCCCTTTATGAGTTATTCTTTCTTTCAGTTCATCTCAGCGGAGCACAGCCAAGATGTACATGTTGATGGACAGTGCTCTAGATGTGAAAACAGATAGAACTGGTTTGTGGGACAGGGGTGGCTTGCTCAGGAGAGGGAATAATGCAAGTCCCTTTTCTTGGAAGGCTTTTACTATGGCCCTGACAGTGACATTGCCCTCACCAAAATCCCTCTCCAAAGTGGTTGTCTTTCTTTACCTTGTGTCTTCTCTTGTAAAAATGAAACTCAAAAATAAACGTGTCAAATTAAAAAAGAAAAAAAACTGAAAAAGCTAACATGAATCGTGTGAAATTGCATAACGCTGTACTGCTAACCTACAATATGTAATGCTATCTTGTATGTTGAATTTGTTAATGCACCATGCAGTGCAAAATAAAGACTGATTCACATTAAACAGATGCAGTGATGTCAACACGGTTCTCTTGGAAGCTAGATGACTATAAAAGTGTGTCCTCGGTCATGTTTTCCAAAGTGTGGTCCCCAAATCATCTGATTCAAAATCATCCAGGGCACTTGTGGAAAAGATTCTAGGTTCTCATCCTAGAGACTCTCATTTGACAGGAGACTTAGTCTGCTGCTTCTTCTAGTCCTTTTATTCCTGTATTCTTCTTTTATTTTATTTTTTCAGAGATAAGGTCTCACTCTGTTGTCCAAGCTAGACCAGAACTCCTGGGCTCAAGTGAACTTCCAGCTTCAGCCTCCTGAAGGGCTAGGACTATAGGGGGCAGCACCACACTGGCCTCTGTTTTCCTCTTGAAATGTAACTTCTAGACCACGACCATCTAAAGAAGAGATTGTGATTTTTACTGTTGAAAATTATCCCAAAAAGTAATCCTGAGACTGGCCAATTCTTTCATTCATTCATTCATTTATTAGTCAACAAATACTTATTGAGTGTTTACTATATGCCAGGCACTAAAGATACAACACATTAATAAGCAAGGGTCCTGTACTTGTGGAGTTTAACGGAAGACAGTATTAATCAAATAACCACACTAATAAATGTATGATTTCAAACTGGGATATACTGTAAAGAAAAAGGAATACAGGCTGGGCAAAATGACTCATGCTTAGACTGTAATCCTAGCACCTTGGAAGGGTGAGGCAGGAGGATCTCTTGAGGCCAGGAGTTCAAGATCAGCCAGAGCAACATAGAAAGACTACATCTCTACAAATAATTTAAAAATTATGCAGGCACGGTGGCACCTATAGTTCAAGTGGCTAAGACACCAGCCACATACACCAGAGCTGGTGAGTTCGAATCCAGCACAGGCCCGCCAAACAACAATGACAACTACAACCAAAA